TTATAATATTTATTTTTTTAATTTTTATTTAAATAATTCTTAATTTTCTATTAATTATTTTATTTAAATTTACATTTACTCAAAATAATTTTTATTATAATTAAAATAAAAAATTTTATATCATGAAACATTTTAATATATTATATATATATATATTATTGCTATTCTCGGATAATTATTTTCTAGTAGGAAATCAATAAATATTTAGAGATTTTTTTTGGGCAAAAAAGATACTTAGAAAATGCCTTAATTAATGAGCATTTAAAGTATAAATTTTTGAAAAGCATAAAATTAATGAATTAGCAAACAAATTATTAATAAAAAAATTTAGAAAAAATTAATATTATTCCATTTCTTTTTATAAAATGCAAAATTAAAATTGTTAATTTTTTTTATCAATTAATTAAACAGAAAATTTTATTTTTCAGTAATTTACTTAGTAAATTAATGTTAAATATTAGAATGAAAATATTACCTAAATTATAATGTTTGTTTAATACGAAATAAATTTATTTATAAGATAACAAAAAATACAATGAAAATAAGTTTTAATAAATTCAAATTAAATAAATGCATTTTTAAGATATCAAGTAATTCAAAATTATTTTCATTTTATAAAATAAATAATCATTTATTTGTTAAATATAAAGATTTCAGTAAAAATAATTTAATTATAAAAAATAGATCTAAATAAAATTATAAAAATAAAAGTAATTTAAAGCTGTTCAACATTCAAATTATAGATTTGGAAAATGTTTAGCTAATTGATTTATCCAAGGATAGTTAGAACTTTATGAAGGTGTTCTTTTTGTTCAGAGCTGATAATTTGGAGAAGGAAAATAATTATTAGACTATGAGCTTTTCTTACTCATCTTAAACTCGTATAAAAAAAATATTAAATTCTCTTATGTTATAACTTGATAAAAATCATAATCAAAAAAAAATATTTTGAAATTTTTATGAGAAAACATAAATAATTTTCATTTTTATATTTATATTTTTATTTATATTTTATGTAAAGTACTCAAAAGTACTGCCTTACATTTTTATCATGTCATACAAATAAAATATATATGTAGTAAATATATTATTATTATTGTTATTATTAATAGTTTACGCAAAACAAGAAAAATTAATTATTTCAAAATTAATATTGTTATTTTAATTTGGCTAAATTAGTTTTATCCAATAGGCTTTTTTGTAAGCAGATTATCGTTTTTTATTTAGTATATTTGTTTGCTACTAATGAAATTGTATATTTTTACATATTAATTTATAGATGAAAGTTTAATTAGTTGATGTAAATTTAATTAAATCAGCCAACCTTCCTAATTATTGAGTCAAAATTGAGATAATTAAATAATCATATAACATTTTCTATAATTTTTCCGTACTTTTTAAATCAAAGACTCTATAAATAATTAGGTTTTTTTAGCTGATCATTTCTTAAAATTAGCGAAATTCCAAATATTTAAAACTAAATTTTATTAGTCAAAATATTCAAAACACTCAGCATTAAACCAAATAAATTTCGACTAAATTGTAAATTAGGTTAGCCATAATTTACAATATATACAGTAACATTAATAATTTTCAAAATTTAGATATTTTAGTAAGATGTTATTTTGTTTAAAAAAACACAGAATTAAATTAATTTATTTATTTAATTTAGAAAATTTATGAGTTTTTGTTTTTTGCCATTTCTTTTATTTTTTGATGTTTTTTTATTAAAAATCTAGCAAATTCCTTTATTTCTTTTGAAATTCTGTAAATTTCTTATTTGTAGATAATAAATAATTCATAATTGAATAGAATGCTAACAAATTTATTAAAAAAAAAAATTTTCAAGTTCACATAAATTTTTCACACAAAAAACTAACTAACTATTCAAGATTTTCAAAATTTTACATAATTTTTTTTAGAAATAATAAAATAGTTGATTGACTGAGTTATTTTTAATCAAATATTAATTAGATGGAATTAATTACCTATCAAAAATTAAAAACACATTTTACTCTTAAGTGATATTGAATTCCAAGCTCTTAATTTAAATCATTTTTGATTTAAATTTATACCTACCTACCTACCAACCCATTTTCTTATTTATATGTTTCTTATCCCATATTTTTTTATAAAGATATTTATTTTAGAATAGTGAATAATCTAAATTTTTATTACTTTTCTGTATGTATGGATAGGGATTATTATTTATTATTTTTATAAAAGGTACTACTATTTTAGATGAACTTTCAAAAGGAAGAGAGTAATTAATAAATTTTAATTTATTAAAGTTCTTTGATTTTCAATTTTAGTTTATTTAATAAAAATATTTCAAGGTTTAAAAAAGAATAATTTAAAAATCTTTTAAATATAAAAAATAATAGATTTATTTTTTAATAATACTGCTATTTAAAAAAATAAATATAACTAACTATATTCATTTGGATGCTATATTACTTAAATATATCATTTATATTAATGTATCATTATTCTTAAAATATTTTGGAAAAAGTGAATGAATTTTAATAAAGTACTATTTATTTGGCTTCTTTGTAATTAATTAATAATTAAATTAAATATTTTTAAAATTTATCTTAAATTGAAATTACAACATAAAATTAATTAATAAATCCTAACATACATTTTATCTTACATTTATAGATAACATAAAATATAAAATAATATCAAATTTCTACAGTTATTTCTTTTGAGTTCTTCAAAGTATATTTCAATTAATCTGAGATTACTTTCTATTCTCCATAAGATAAATTATTTTTCCTAATAATAAATAAATATTCATTAATTATTAGAAAAGAAGAATAAAAGAAAATAAAAATAACAAGAGTTAAATTATTTTAAAAATAAATAAAAATTTATTGATTAAATAATTATATTAATTGCTAAATAAATTAAATACGTAAGATCTAGAGTTAAATTAGTGATATTCTAACACTTTTCTAAAGCTG